CTTCCTGAGAACCGGCTCAAAAGAACGATTCGTTCAAGAACCTAACATCACTACAAAATATGCGGTTGTTACTCATGTCAAAAGCCTTGTCCAAATACCCACACTTGTATCGCAAGCCGTTTTAGCATTTAAAATTTGTTTTGACTATCCATAAATATAATTTAAGATAGGAACAATTGTATTTTGACGAGTCATAATTATAATTCGACTAGTCACAATGACAATTAGAGATATCTGCAATTATAATTGCACTAGTAAGAAATCGGATTAGAGATATCTCTAAATACTTTATGACTAGTCAAAACTCCATTTAAGATATCTGTAATGACGTCACAGATATCTTCAATAGGGCGTCACACATACGCAAAGGTAATTAGAGATATCTCTAATTCAGTTTCGACTAGTCACAATTATATTTTAAGATATCTGAATTGTACATGCTCCTAGTCGGCAGGTGTCGCTCATTATCAATTACTCCACTGGCCTCGCTCCGTTTCCACGGCTCTCGGCCCCGCCCCACTCGTCACAGTAACCCTCAACGAAGTCATGCAAGTTTCACAAGCTTTTATACGTTAATGGGAGGCTGCCAGCATTTGACACTCATTCCCACGACAATATTGCATTCATCCGAAACTTCTCAATGCATGTTGGAGCATGCATGTGTAATATTAAGAAATCTTGTGCATTTGCTTGGTCGAGGAATAGTCTAGTTGCATTTGCAAAAGTGTTGCATTTATTTATTTGTGCATTTACTTTTATTATATACACATCTATGTATTCATGCATTACTTATTATTTATGCATTTATGTGCATTTACCTAATGCATTTATTCATATTATTTGTGCATTTATTTACATATGTATTTATTTATTTATTAATGCATTTATTATACAGACATTTATTTATTAATGCATTAATTATTATTTATGCATTTATTTATGCATTTACTTAATAAATTTATTTCTGCATTTATTTCTTTGTTAGGCATTTATTATTTTTTTTAATAATTCTATTAAAACTTTAAAACACAGTTTAAACCATAATTTTTTTTAAATATACACTAACTTTTTGTGTATATTTTTGTTCTTCTTTCAGTGTGGGACTCAATGAAGCTGCCTTTGCTTTATGGGATCTGTGCTTCGGTGACTGTAGGCGTTGTTTCTCTCGTCCTGGGCCTGGTCTGTGCTCACTGCTGCTGTAAAACCACGACACCTACTCCACGCTCTCACAACAAACTCATGGAGCTGGAGATAGATTGACAAAGACAGTACAGTTGTCCCCTGCCGACCTGGATGGCGTGGTGACAACTGATGAACGCTGGGACGTGTCCCGTGATGTTATGCACCATCTGGAAGGAGAAACTACATTCTCAGAGGAAATAACTACTGAATCAGAGTCAACAACCAGGGCGAATTACTCAAATATTGCACTAAACACATTCTTATATCAGCCGGGTGCATGTTTTGTTGGATTTATGAACTTTCTGTCATTAAAAACAAGAAGTGTTAAAGGTTTTTTACGCTCTGATGAAATACCTGACAAGATCCAAGCAGATTTTGACAGACTGAAGGATTATATTACTCAAGCTCCAAAGAGACCGTCTGCTTCCAGATCAGGGTTTAAAGACACTAATTTCTACCGTGATTCTTTTTGAGTTTGGTGCTACTCTCTTTTTGCAAGACATGGGAGGAGCTGAACCCATGTCACAATGTGAAAGATGACGTTTTATCTGTGATTCTGTGACATTTTGTGTTGTAATGTATGTACCGTTCAGCTTTGTTCTCCAGAGTTGACCAGCTCTGAACAACCCACCCTCTAAAAGCTAACTAGTCAACCATTATCAACTGGTTAACTGTAATGCAACAGAGGCAGTCACACTAGATTTTAAACATATAAAATGAATTTGAATATATGATGCTGGGAAAAAAATAGTTTTTTGAATAAGTAGTATTTTTAAAATAAATAATTAATTTCTAATGTTAAAATATATCATCTCCTGTTTCCATGTAGTGGGTTGACACATCTGTTTAGCTAGCTAGCAACACCCTAGCAACCACATCACACTGGAACAACCATCTAAAACTCCTTTACAACTGTTTAGAAACATTCTAGGAATTGATTATAGCAACTCCATAGCAATAACTTAAAAGGGTCATGAACTGCCTTTTTTTTATTTTGTACTGTTCTCTGAGGTCCACTTATAATGTTTTCAAGATTTTTACATCAAAAAACAGCTGTGATTTAGGTTTAAATCATGAATACTCAGTACATATCAATTAAACAATCTGTAATAACAGACAAAGCAATAGTGACCACGTAATAAAAATAGTTACTCACACTTGTATGGTGAGACATTACGTCGGATCCAGTATAGTCGGCACAGCATCGTCTTTTAGTTTCAATCTTTCTGAAAATCCTGTGCTGAATTGTGTGAATCCACGGTATGAAGTGAACAAAGGACCAAGTTCTTACTGACGCGGTCTGGATCTTCATTAAAAATAAAGTTCATCCACTCTTTCCTAATGTTGGGATCAGAAGGAAGGCAAAGTAAAGATTTTTCACAACTTGGCACTGCACAGCACAGCATCTTGTTGTCTTCTGAGCCATCTTCATAATTTGATTTATGCTTATACCTGCGTTTGCCTCCCTCGTTATTTACACTTGATGTGCGAATCGGTGGGCGGGGCAGATTTTTTTTTCATACAAATAAAAAAAAGAGAGAAAATACTGATATATATACAGAGTTCTGGCATGAAACTCTAGATGGCGCAGTCCGATAGGTCTAGCTCAATCTGACCTGGTGACATCATTGTCACATGGCAGCTGATTGGTTCTCTCCTGTATAGCCAATGAGCTCGCTGCTCAATATTCAAATACCTGGCTTTTGTTTG